GCCCAGGAGACTGGGAGACTGGGTGTCCTTTATTTTAATGATACGGCCCAGGATACTGGGAGACTGGGTGTCCTTTATTTTAATGATGCGGCCTGGGAGACTGGGTGTCGTTCATTTTAATGATATGGCCCAGGATACTAGGAGACTGGGTGTTGTTTATTTTAATGATACGGTCCAGGATACTGGGAGACTGGGTGTCATTCATTTTAATGATATGGCCCAGGATACTGGGAGACTGGGTGTTGTTTATTTTAATTATATGGCCCAGGAGACTGGATGTTGTTCGTTTTTTTTTATTTTATTTTTTTAAACTGACAATTTTTATTGTTTTTTGAGAATACAGAAATCGAAAGTGGTATGGGGAGGCCAAGTTTAGGTTAAAATGACAAGCATAATTGCAGCATCAGTCGTAAAAAATGTTCAAATGACAGCAGTAACATCTCGTCTGTTATGTATCGTCTAAACTTCGTGTCAGAGATATCTCAGTTCTGTTAAAAAGTGATAATTGTAGTACATTTAGAGTGGGCTTCATTATTTGAGAATACCGTTGTAGTATACCTTGGATCAAAGGCCATGTGTCTGTGGTCTGAGTGTCTATGGCCTTTGGTGACTTAGTTTGTTTAAGACCAGTTTCATGGTGTTGGGCTGGCTGTCAGACATGCGTGTTGCAATGCATTGTCTTGTCAGGGTGGGTGGGAGGAGGTTAAGAAGTGCCCGGGTCGCTAGCGTGGGCCCGTTGTAGGAGTCCCAGTTTTCCCATGCCACTCTCCAATACTTGGCTGGTGGTTGTATGCTCTATACCATTTTTTCAAAGTGTTTATTGGTTTCAACTAATGCTTTGTAGATGGATAGGTTATTTTCCATTGTCTACTGATAACTGTTAGTGCTGAAATAATTATGTGGTAGAGGAGGTAGGTTTGCCTTTTTTGTTTTTCGGTGGCATCAGCAGTAGGAATGTTTCGGGTTGGAAGGGAAGGTCGACCCCTGTGCATTGCTTTGCCATGTATGTTACATCTTTCCAGAATTTGTCTAGGTGGGAGCATTTTCACCATATATGGATCATGCATCCCTTATCTGCTTGACACCTCCAGCATGTGTCCAGCATGTGTGGGAAGGTTCATTTGAGGCATGTAGGGACGAGATACCAGCGGTATAGGATTTTGCAGGAAAGCTCTATGTGGGACATGGATTTCATTAGTAATATGTCTGTCCATTGTGAGTCTGTCAGGGTGCGTGCAATGAGTTTTTTCCATGTTTTTTAAAGGCGAAGGAGTCAAGTTGTGTTCCATGGCATAGATAGTAGATATGAGTTTCTTAGGGGGTTTAAGTTTAGTGCATGTTTTCTCCATTTCCGACAGTGGCGGTTCCTGTGTGTCGTCTGAGGATGTCAGTGTTTGCTTGTGTATCCATGATTGTAGTTGCATGTATGGGAAGAGGGCTGTATTTGCAAGTTGTGTGCTTTTTGTAGGTCTTTGAATTTTATGAGAGTATTGCCTCGCAGTATTTGTGAGAGCACGGTTATGCCATGTTGGAGCCGTATTTTGTAAATGAAAAATGGTAATGTCTCCATTGGCATGGCTGGCGTGAACTTTCCAATAAAGCCCATCCTAGTGCAGTAGTAATCCCATATCTCGAGTGTGATAGATGTGCTGGGTAGCATGTATCTATTTGTTGGCGTTGAGCTTTTGGGGAGCCCAGCTAGCGTTGTTGTGGGGATTCCTGCTGTGTGTTTTTGTTCTATGTCCACCCACACTAGGGGTTCATTATGGTGAAATGCTGAAAGGAGGGGGCCTATTTGGGCTGCCCTATAGTACCCTGCCAGGTGGGGCACTCCCAGGGGCGGGCTGGGCCGGGGGGGCAGGGAGGCAATTGCCCCCCAGGCCGCCCTAAATTCCTGTAAGGCCGGCCGCGGCGGGCCGGCCCTTTAAATACTGCAGCCGCCTGAGCGCTCTGTTAAGAGCCTCCGGCGGCTGCAGCTTCTCCCCTGTAGCGTGGCCGAGCTGCACTCCGGTCCGCGGTGGCCGGCCAGCCGGCCGGAGTGATAGGAGGGTGCACACTGAGTGTGCACTTCCTGTCAGTCCGGCCGGTTACAGGAAACAGAAACTCCTGTTCCGCGCGGAGTTTCTGTTTCCTGTTACCGACCGGACTGACAGGAAGTGCACACTGAGTGTGCACCTTCCTATCACTCCGGCCGGCCGGCCACCGCGGACCGGAGTGCAGCTCGGCCACGCTACAGGGGAGGGGGCAAGAAGAGAGG